CTCCTGCTGATGTTCAGGTGTATATCAGTATGTAGTGTCTCTACTTTAAAGAGTCCTCTCCTGCTGATGTTCAGGTGTATATCAGTATGTAGTGTCTCTACTTTAAAGAGTCCTCTCCTGCTGATGTTCAGGTGTAATATCAGTAGTGTAGTGTCTCTACTTTAAAGAGTCCTCTCTCTGCTGATGTTCATTGTATATCAGGATGTAGTGTTCTACTGGAAAGAGTCCTCCTCTAGCGGATGTTCCAGGTGTATATCAGTAGTAGTGTCTCTACTTTAAAGAGTCCTCTCCTGCTGATGTTCAGGTGTATATCAGTATGTAGTTGTCTCTACTTTAAAGAGTCCTCTCCTGCTGATTTCAGGTGTATATCAGTATGTAGTGTCTCTACTTTAAGAGTCCTCTCCTGCTGATGTTCAGGGTGTAATATCAGTATGTAGTGTCTCTACTTTAAAGAGTCCTCTCCTGCTGAGTCAGGTGTATATCAGTATGTAGTGTCTCTACTTTAAAGAGTCCTCTCCTGCTGATGTTCAGGTGTATATCAGTATGTAGTGTCCTCTACATTTAAAGAGTCCTCTCCTGCTGATGTCCAGGTGTAATCAGTATGTAGTGTCTCTACTTTAAAGAGTCCTCTCCTGCTGATGTTCAGGTGTATATCAGTATGTAGTGTCTCTCTACTTAAAGAGTCCTCTCCTGCTGATGTTCAGGTGTATATTAGTATGTAGTGTCTCTACTTTAAAGAGTCCTCTCCTGCTGATGTTCAGGTGTATATTAGTATGTAGTGTATCTACTTTAAAGAGTCTTCTCCTGCTGATTGTTCAGGTGTATATTAGTATGGAGTGTCTCTACTTTAAAGAGTCCTCTCCTGCTGAATGTTCAGGTGTATATCGTATGTAGTGTCTCTACTTTAAAGAGTCCTCTCTGCTGATGTTCAGGTGTATATCAGTATGTAGTGTCTCTACTTTAAAGAGTCACTCTCCTGCTGATGTTCAGGTGTATATCAGTATGTAGTGTCTCTACTTAAAGAGTCCTCTCCCTGACTGATGTTCAGGTGTATATCAGTATGTAGTGTCTCTACTTTAAAAGAGTCCTCTCCTGCTGATGTTCAGGTGTATATCAGTATGTAGTTGCTCTCTACTTTAAAGAGTCCTCTCTGCTGATGTTCAGGTTGTACTATCAGTATGTAGTGTCTCTACTTTAAAGAGTCCCTCTCCTGCTGATGTTCAGGTGTATATCAGTATGTAGTGTCTCTACTTTAAAGAGTCCCTCTCCTGCTGCATGTTCAGGTGTATATCAGTATTGTAGTGTCTCTACTTTAAAGAGTCCTCTCCTGCGTGATGTTCAGGTGTATATCAGTATGTAGTGTCTCTACTTTAAAGAGTCCTCTCCTGCTGATGTTCAGGTGTATATCAGATGTAGTGTCTCTACTTTAAAGAGTCCTCTCCTGCTGATGTTCAGGTGTATATCAGTATGTAGTGTCTCTACTTTAAAGAGTCCTCTCCTGCTGATGTTCAGGTGTATATCAGTATGTAGTGTCTCTACTTTAAAGAGTCCTCTCCTGCTGATGTTCAGGTGTATATCAGTATGTAGTGTCTCTACTTTAAAGAGTCCTCTCCTGCTGATGTTCAGGTGTATATCTAGTATGTAGTGTCTCTACTTTAAAGAGTCCTCTCCTGCTGATGTCAGGTGTATATCAGTATGTAGTGTCTCTACTTTAAAGAGTCCCTCTCCTGCTGATGTTCAGGTGTATATCAGTATGTTAGTGTCTCTACTTTAAAGAGTCCTCTCCTGCTGATGTTCAGGTGTATATCAGTATGTAGTGTCTCTACTTTAAAGAGTCCTCTCCTGCTGATGTTCAGGTGTATATTCAGTATGTAGTGTCTCTACTTAAAGAGTCCTCTCCTGCTGATGTTCAGGTGTATATTCAGTATGTAGTGTCTCTACTTTAAAGAGTCCTCTCCTGCCTGATGTTTCAGGTGTATATTAGTATGTAGTGGTATCTACTTTAACGAGTCCTCTCCTGCTGATGTTTCCAGGTGTATATCAGTATGTAGTGTCCTCTACTTTAAAGAGTCCTCTCCTGCTGATGTTCAGGTGTATATCAGTATGTAGTGTCTCTACTTTAAAGAGTCCTCTCCTGCTGATGTCAGGTGTATATCAGTATGTAGTGTCTCTACTTTAACGAGTCCTCTCCTGCTGATGTTCAGGTGTATATCAGTATGTAGTGTCTCTACTTTAAAGAGTCCTCTCCTGCTGATGTTCAGGTGTAATCAGTATGTAATTGTCTCTACTTTAAAGAGTCCTCCTCCTGCTGATGTCAGGTGTATATCAGTATGTAGTGTCTCTACTTTAAAGAGTCCTCTCCTGCTGATGTTCAGGGGTATATCAGTATGTAGTGTCTCTACTTTAAAGAGTCCTCTCCTGCTGATGTCCAGGGTGTATATCAGTATGTAGTGTCTCTACTTTAAAGAGTCCTCTCCTGTTGATGTTCAGGTGTATATCAGTATGTAGTGTCTCTACTTTAAAGAGTCCTCTCCTGCTGATGTTCAGGTGTATATCAGGATGTTCAGATGGTATATCAGTTCTCTACTTAAAGAGTCCTCTCCTGCTGATGTTCAGGTATATATCAGCATGTAGTGTCTCTACTTTAAAGAGTCCTCTCCTGCTGATGTTCAGGTGTATATCAGTATTGTAGTGTCTCTACTTTAAAGAGTCCTCTCCTGCTGATGTTCAGGTGTATATCAGTATGTAGTGTCTCTACTTTAAAGAGTCCTCTCCTGCTGATGTCCAGGTGTATATCAGTATGTAGTGTCTCTACTTTAAAGAGTCCTCTCCTGTTGATGTTCAGGTGTATATCAGTATGTAGTGTCTCTACTTTAAAGAGTCCTCTCCTGCTGATGTTCAGGTTTATATCAGTATGTAGTGTCTCTACTTTAAAGAGTCCTCTTCCTGCTGATGTTCAGGTGTATATTCAGTATGTAGTGTCTCTACTTTAAAGAGTCCTCTCCTGTCTGATGTTCAGGTGTATATCAGTATGTAGTGTCTCTACTTTAAAGAGTCCCTCTCCCTGCTGATGTCCAGGTGTATATCAGTATGTAGTGTCTCTACTTTAAAGAGTCCTCTCCTGTTGATGTTCAGGTGTATATCAGTATGTAGTGTCTCTACTTTAAGAGTCCTCTCCTGCTGATGTTCAGGTTGTATATCAGTATGTAGTGTCTCTACTTTAAAGAGTCCTTCTCCTGCTGATGTTCAGGTATATATCAGCATGTAGTGTCTCTACTTTAAAGAGTCCTCTCTGCTGATGTTCAGGTGTATATTAGTATGTAGTGTCTCTACTTTAAGAGTCCTCTCCTGCTGATGTTCAGGTGTATATCAGTATGTAGTGTCTCTACTTTAAAGAGTCCTCTCCTGCTGATGTTCAGGTGTATATTAGTTATGTAGTGTATCTACTTTAAAGAGTCCTCTCCTGCTGATGTTCAGGTTGTATATCAGTATGTAGTGTCTCTACTTTAAAGAGTCCTCTCCTGCTGATGTTCAGGTGTATATCAGTATGTAGTGTCTCTACTTTAAAGAGTCCTCTACTGCTGATGTTCAGGTGTATATCAGTATGTAGTGTCTCTACTTTAAAGAGTCCTCTCCTGCTGATGTTCAGGTGTATATCAGTATGTAGTGTCTCTACTTTAAAGAGTCCTCTCCTGCTGTTGTCATTGGTCAGCCTGTTAGAGAAGTCCCGCCCCCTCAGCCTGTCACTTCAATGTGTTGGAGCTAGTCTCTCTCAGTGTTTATATAATCTCATCATTAAGAGAGGATTACATTCAGTCAGAGACAGGAGGATTACACATAGTGAGAATATACAGTATATATTTGTACAGTACTACGAGGTTGATGAAATATAAGACGTATAATAATACAAACATAAGAAGGTAAAGGGAACATGTATTTCTACATTTAAATTGCAGAAAAATAAAGAATAAAATGGAAAAAAACTCCAATAAAACATAACTACCAATAAAATAATAATATTTATATACAAATCCTAATATTGTACTTCATTTTTAGGGTGTAGTTTTACATCCTCAATATTAAAAATGTACTTCAATGAAATGTGCAAAACAATAAAAAGGAAAATTCTCCATTCGACCCAGATGTGATCTTTGAGGTCTCGTTACTCATTGTTTACTCACCTCCTGCAGACATCTCCTCCCGATCATCCTGTACACATCCTCCCGTTCAACAGTCTGCAGGACGGGGATGGAGCGCAGAGGAGACAGAGCGGTGATGATGATGAGGATGAAGAAGATGGAGACTCAGTAATCCTTTAATCCGCCGGTCACCAAATGTTTCCTCTCATCTCTGAACTCTGCATCCCTCCATCCAAGTGTGTGTGTGTGTGTGTGTGTGTGTGTGTGTGTGTGTGTGTGTGTGTGTGTGTGTGTGTGTGTGTGTGTGTGTGTGTGTGTGTGTGTGTGTGTGTGTGTGTGTGTGTGTGTGTGTGTAAACAAGCCATCCAGGTCAACATACACACATGAACACTTTTAGCAACCTGTGTTATCCTGCCTAGAATCTCTTACTGTTATTTTACTGAGTCTATTATATATATATGAATAAGGAGACACTTTGACATTCTGCTATTTCATAATGAAGGTCTTTTTGTTCATGTTTTGTTGGTGTATGGCTGTGTGTATGCTCCTGTTGATTAATTGGGTGGTTGAATTTGTATTCAGACAACTCCACATATTTTTCACAATTTAATTTGTATTATTTTGGTATTTATTTACACATTTATGTTTCTTTAGATTGTATTATTACCATTATTTTATTTTTAAATATTATTATTATTATCAACATCATTATTAGAATTGTTTTATATTATTAATATGATTATTATTATCATTATTATTAATATATTTGTACTTAACACTTTATCTTTTTGTATACCTGTTGGGACAGTTCATCGAGAGCGTGCCGGTTACGTTCCTCTACGTCATGACGTCACAGGGCGGAAGTGCAGTTTGTTGTTGACAGCGCTGCAGCATGTCGTGTTTTTAGCGTCAGAACTAAACGGAATATTGACTGTTTTAAAGCTTTAAAGATCCTAACACCACCATGGAGGAACACAGAGAACACACACATGGAGTTAGATGAGAAAACCGGAAGGAGTCGGGAAACATTAGCGACACAAAGCTAACTTCCGGCTAGAAGCTAACAGCTAGCAAAGGTAAATAAAGATATGTTTTAGTTTGAAAACATGCATGCTGCACAAATACTGCAGAACAACACGCTGTGCTGCTCCCGCTCACACGGAAGTGTCTTCGGGTGCAATGTGCACTTTGGTTTGAGTGATATTAGTCTCAAGTTTGTTGAGTTTCACTACTGACTTCTGTATATTGAGGTGATATTGATCTGTACCTTTACAGGTGACTGTCTCTCAGACTTCAGTAATAAGAAAGTCACGAGGAGAATCTGTGGTGAAAAGTACAAGTAGTTCATTTTTGTACTATGCAAGTACTATTTTAGCATACTTTATTTGTGTATTTCCTAGGGGTATAACGGTTCACAAACATTTCGGTTCGGTTCGTTTTCGGTACAGCAGAAAAAATGATCATAAAATATTAGGGATGCACGATATTGGTTTTTTGAAACCGATACCGATAACTTCCTGCTTCTCAAGACCGATACCGATAACCGATAATAATATAATATATATATTAAATGTGTAGTTTTTGCACACCTGGTGGTAAAACAAAGACTAGTAGTGAGCAAAGGACATGAGCATTACTACTATGAACAAAACAAAGCCAAGAACAGTTTTGACTCTTCAAAGTGACCATATTTATTAAAGCCTCTTGGATAGGTAAAAGCCCCGGTGCCTTTGCAGCTGGCTTTGGATTCGCCGCTAGTTTAGCAGCGCAGGCGTCTTCGTACGCTTTTAACACACCGTCGTAGCGATGGCGATGTTTCAGGCGACTAATCAGGTTGGAAGTATTATAGCTCGTTGCCTTTCTCCTCCTCGTGGAACTTCTGCATTTGTTAATACAAATAGCAAGCGAACTATCTAACTCTGAAACTTTGAAATAGTCCCATACCACCGGCGACATGTTTGTTTACTGTCCTGGCTTCACGGCCGCACACCATTTACGTCACAGCCAGGCATGAGTTAGGGAGCGCTGCATTTGTGAAAAACTCCCCTCTTCCTAAACCACTAATACCACAGTACTGGCAAAACGTGAGGAGCCGAGTGAAAAACAAGCGCCCCTCATCCCAATCCACACCGCAGTATTCTTTCTTTTTTACCCAAAAAATATATTGTATATTATCGGGGCTATTAATACTGTTATCGGGTTTATCGGGATGACGTCATACTTCCTAATATTGGACCGATAATTATCGGGCACCACTAATAAATATATATATATTTTTTAAATTAGTATTAAACTGTGAATATTCACTCAAATAAATACAAAATATAGTAAAATAAACATTAAGGTGCAGCATTTCGATGAACTGAAATAATCTGTATTTGAACTGTACTAGTTACCTAAGCAGCCAGCTTGACATTAGGACTTGCTTGTCATTGTATTTTCATGTTGTTTAAAGAAAGATGAACTTGTCCACATTGCTTGCTGAAAGGGCAGATCTGCTGGCACTAACAATGTCTCCTGCTGTGGAGAACACCCTCTCTAGGGACAGAGGTAGCAGATACAGCCAGGTAGCGCTTTGCTAACATGGCAAGATAAGGATACTTGGCGTTTGTAATAGCTTTGGCTCGGTCTGAACTCTCTGCGAGTGGTGGAGGCTTACATGCTAGCGGGAGTTGGGTTTCCACTTCAGTCTTTTTTCTTTTGGTGCCGGTGATATTCACGTTCGGGAGATTTTCAAATGTGCAAGTTTGATGTATTGCCAGCCGCGTAACCAATGTTAGTTGAATAAGGCCGACAAACAGCTTTGGTTCGGTCCACCTGTCTTTGTCCTTCATCCTTGTACGTAACTGCGAAACCAAAATGTTCCCAAACCGGAGACTTCAATGATGCTGGAGGATTTTCAGCTCAACTTGATCTACGTTCGCCATTTCCTCAAATTACTGACTAAATTTGAACGCATCCCTGTGACCAGCTCTCATAGTATGCCTCTCGTCCAATGAAATGACTTGCTCGCTCTGACGCGTTGAACCCATAGACTGTATATATAAATGGACGTAGGGTCCGTGACGTCACCCATAGGATTCTGCAGAGTTGCCGTGAAGCCCTTAGTAGGCGGAGTCTGCCACTAACGGCTCGACAGTGACGCCAGAGTTCAACTCCCGCCTTCTCCAGCCTGCTCCAAATAAGGGCAAAGAGGCGGAGCCGAGGCGGGACCTGCTGCCACCGAGCTGGAAGTTCCAGAGCTAGCTGAAGCTACCAAGCTAAGCTAACATGCTCCCCATCTGCACGCTGCCGTCGCATTTTACGTTTCTAAGGTAAGCGGACATGAAACTATTCAGCAAAACTATAAATAATAATCTAAGTTATTGAGCTTTTAGCATAATACTTAAGAATCTTAAAACCCCTTAACGTTTGTATGCAATTGTGCTAAATTCAACACTGGAATCAAGCAAATATTAATATGTTTGCATGACATTAGTTATTTATATTTTGATATCACTTAACTATACGTTTAATACATTTAAGTCAAGCTAAGGTACATGTGATGGTAGCTAGTTAGTGCTCTTACCTGTGAGGCCTCCTCCAAACAGCATAATAACCAGACTATCATTAAAACTAAGTACCAGTTATAGATCCTTGACTTTAGACAAACAATTCAAAAGACAACATGTATTAAAGACCAATCTTTATTTGAATGTGCCTCTTAACCTGATATATTAGTTATACAGTAATAGTATTGACAATCTAAAAAAACTGAGCAACTCAACAGTCAACTTTATGTTTCTTATTGTCTAAAGCATTTATTATTTTCATTTCCTCTCATATTCAGTGCGGACGGATTGAGACAGCGTGGTGTCCAGAGAGCAGGAGAGACTTCAGGGAGAAACCTCCGTGTGATGGACGTCCTGTCTGTTGGTTTGGAGAGGACTGAGGGTCTTCCCTCTGCGAGGAGGACTGAGGGTCTTCCCTCTGCGAGGAGGACTGAGGGTCTTTCCTCTGCGAGGAGGACTGAGGGTCTTTCCCTCTGCGAGGAGGACTGAGGGTCTTTCCTCTGCGAGGAGGACCAGGCCTGATGGAGGAGCCCATGCTGGGCAAAGCTGATACCAACTGCACAGGCCTAGTCTGTCACTTTATTTGACTAAATGTGTTTACTTATACATTTAATAGGTTTACACCTTATGTGCTTTTTATTTAAAACATTTGATTAACTTTTGATTCACATTTCAATAAATTGTATTTGTATTTGCTCTCCTTTTGTCCATTATTCTTACTGAAAATGTTAGATTACACATTCACATCTGACTGAAGATTGGCCCCATTTATTTGTGACGTTGCAAAACAAGGTACATGTTGTGAAGCTCATAAAGTGAGGCAAATAGAAATAATCAGCTGATGGAGTGTAGATGTGGAAATAGCTGCATTCGATCAGCTGACTGTTTTTACAATAAAAGTAGTTTCTTAGTGAATGTCCTGTACTGGTCTTAAAATCTCATAACATCAGCTTTTAATGTTCCTCTTGGATGTTCTTCTGACCCTCAGAGAAGGAGAACATGTCGTGTCTTTCAGGCATGTCCTTTCCTTACAAAAATGACAGGAAACATAAAACATATTATTGCAGAACAAGTGTGTTATTTATGAAAGCGGTGTGTTTGTGTGTTTAGGGGCTGTAGATATCATTATTTTGTAATTGTAATGTTTTTTTTCATTTCAACAGTGAGCTACAAAGACAATCAGATTATGAATGAACAGTATGAAGTTCATCAACATTGAAATATATGTTATTATCAAAATAATATTGAACTGTTATCAAAACGTAGTGCAGCTGTAGAAGCTTGCTCTGTTGTCTCACTGAAAGAATCACTTTTACCACGTTTTTTACAGACAATATTGAGAGATAAATAGCAGCAGTTCTCACTATGTGTTAAATATCTTTGCCTTCAATACATTAAATTAGAAAGCTGACAAAGTCATATTGCTAAATATCTAAATGTAACTTTTTGCATGGAAAAACCCTCAACTTAACTGATGTGTAGGTGATCTAGTATTTAGTATTGTTTAATGGAATGTATATCAGTGTATTCAAGTCAATACTTCATTAATTTAAACCAATATCTTTCTTGATTCTTTGTACAGTATGAAAAAAAGAGTCTTTGTACCTGAGCTGAAGTTCACTGCTGTGAGGAGTCCAGTTCTGTCTCTCACTCTCTGGTCCTGTCTGCATCACCTGGACACCTTAAACAAACAGATATATATGTAAAGTACCATGTGTACAAACAATATAACTGATTCTCTTCTGTTGAACATGTTGGATTGTGTATTGTCCGAGTCAGGGTCCTTTTTATTTTACTGTAACTTTGGAAGTTGTGTTACCAATGCTTACTGTTTATTTGATACCCATTTGGTAATGCAATTAATAAAAATAACAAGGTTTGGGTTCGTTCTTCAGATGACTGTGACGTTAACGTGTCAGCTCGATAATGAACTCCAGCTCAACCAACCATATTGTAATATCTAAGTAATCATCTTGAAATATGACATTAATAATTGTAATATACACACATCTTATTGTGAGGTTGATTTCACGTACACTACTTCGACATTAGCTTGTCTACATACTTGAGCATAGCCAATTTAAATTAACCTTAGATGCATACAGTTCCTACCTACATAATAAAATATCTCTAAGTTACAAGGATGTAACCTTATTTTATCAACCTCAAACAGAAGCCGTTTGTTCTACAGTATTATCCCACTTAACACTTGTCTATTTAGTTTTAACCTTTATATATACAGTCTATGATTTTAACTTGGAGGCTACGATTAGCATCGTTAGCACCGATGTAGCTACCACTCGCTTACAACTAAACCAAGCCTTAACATTCATTACGTAGCTGATTAAAATCATTAACACATAAATAAAGCACTCGAATTTCACTTACCGCAAAACCGCATTCATGCACCGTCTGTTTTAACCGCAGAGCGAGTCACAATAGTCCGATATATAAGCATGAAGAACAAACAACCACGGCCGGCTTCAAGTTGTGTTCCCTGGATGAGCTGAGCAGGCAGAGTCCCTGTAGCTTCACGGAGCAGCTAGCAGAGAGACAAGAAGCTAACAGCGGCAGGCACTTGACAGAGCCGTCACTCAATGTGACCACGCCCTAATTTATGCAAAAACGTTAAGACCTAATATAAATAAAAGGGTCGTGTTAGAAAACAATTCACTCACAGATCCATAATCATGAAGGTGGAATCTAACTATATTCATAATAATATTTATTGCGTCCATGGGTAGAAACATGTTTTTTTCTGCTGTAAAGTCGGGCATTTTAACATGGGGGTCTATGGAAATTGCTCCTTTCTGCAGCCAGTCCCTAGCGGCCCATGTATGAACTGCAGTGTGTGGCACTTCCGTATTGGCGTCTCGGCTGTTCCCCAGAGTTTGCCGCTTGGTTGAACCCAATGTGAGCAAATTACTCTGAACGCTGCGACGCAGCACCTGAGATTACTTCCAAGAAGTTGTTCACGTTCTCAATTTTTTACGTTTAACGTTATATTCGTTCAGTTCGGTACGGGTCGGTACACACCTGTACCGACCCGAATAATTTCGGTACGTGTACCGTTACACCCCTAGTATTTCCCTTTAAGCTATTGTACATGTTGTACATTGACTTCACACTTGGGACCTTCAACAGGAGAGACATTGCTCATGGGTCAGGGGCACAAACAATAAACTCCACAACAATTTACAATATTTTCACATATTGGCCCAAAAACTTGCATTTCTGTTAAAACTGCAGCAATTCTGAAATACTTCTCATAATTTAAAACGGTGTCCTTGTTGTTGTTGTTGTTGTTGTTGTTGTTGTTGTAGCTTTTGTAAACTTGTAAATGTTCTGATGATATATTGTTTTTTTTAATTGCTCCTTTTTTACAACTAATTTCCTCTTACTGTGTTTATGTTTGCGTCATTACTCACCTGAGCAAAGTGCTTGTATGTCTGCACCTTCTTCCCCAAACTAGCTATCTGTGTCTCCCCTGCAGCACCATGGCAGAGGCGGGGGCCCACCTGACCTCCTCAGGGTCCTCAGTGAGCGAGCAGCCGTCAGTCTTTGAGGTTCTGGCTCAGGAGTCTCTGATGGAGGCGGTCCGCCCGGCGCTGAGGCACGGCGTCAAGGTGAGGGGGGGAACGCCGTCAAGGTGAGGCGGGGGGGGCAGGCCGTCAAGGTGAGGGGGGGAACGCCGTCAAGGTGAGGCGGGGGGGGGGGCAGGCCGTCAAGGTGAGGCGGGGGGGGCAGGCCGTCAAGGTGAGGGGGGGGGCCACGCTGTCAAGGTGAGGGGGGGGGGGGGGCGACGCTGTCAGGGTGAGGGGGGGGGGGGTTGGACTGTGAAGCTTTGTTAATAACTGCATGTTAGAACAATCTCACTCGTCCCCGGCTTGAGCTTCAATCTCAGGATCCATGTGTTTAGCATCCTCTCCAGAACGGAAGTAGTCAACAAAAAAAGATAATCTTTTTTTTTCTCAAAATCTAAAAATTCGGACTTTTTCTCAAAACGGAGCCCTCAAACGATAACGGGTCCCACGGTGGGTAGAACTGTGGACGGAACGCTCTGGGGGGCAAACGGCTCCGTGTCTACGCCCTATACGCCATAGCCCCACCTCACCCCGCCTCGCCCTGCCTCTCCTGCTCACCCCCGCGTCACCCGCGTCATTGCTGATGTGTTTCGCCAACAAGAACAACAGTGTTCCGAGTGTTTCGAGCCAGGTCCCGGTATCTGGCAGGACAGGGCTTCCCCCCCACGGCAGAGTTTCCGTTAGCCAGTAATTACCGGACTATGACCGGTAAAATATGCTGAAGACCGGCAACTCTAAATCTCTCAAAATGCCGCTTATTATTTAGGTGTCCTTTGACACGCAGGCAGACATATCATTAGCTAGAACTAGCTGGATCTGATCGATATGGACATAAACGCGAGTGAAGTCTAATCTGACGGGAGAGAGAGATCAGCTGCTGCTGACGGAGACACACAGCTCTATGATCACCTGCAGCCCCTCCGCCCGCTGTGACGGAGCGATGAGTGGAGCAAAACACACACTTCAAGTTAGATCATCACCGGTAGCTATTTTAATGACCTCTCAAACTACCTAAACTAGTTATAGATATGTTTAGTTTGACTGTCGGGTCACTCATTACTGGATCAGCTGCTGCATGAGACCACGGATACTGACGGGCTGTCAGGAGAGGAAAAGAGAGGCTCCGTTATTCTTATATGATTATATAGAGTCGTTATTCATTTGTTTTAAAGCTCAATAAATAACAAAGAAGACCTTTGACCGGCACTTTTCTAATTTTGTCCGGA